AAAGAAAACATATGAAACAGACTGGACTGAACTGAAGCTTCACAGCAGGAGCCCTCAGGCAGGACCATCAGCACACCTGCTCTTGTTTCAGACAAAAATCAACCAATCAATCAATCAATCAATCAGTACGCTGTGATAGAACACCACAAAAATCATGTAAGGACGACACAGCTCACACAGGTGAGGACACACCTGTGTGAGCTCTGTGAGTTCAAAGAGCTGCGGAGTCATCACAGCTGATCGATCAGAGGACCGGATGGTTTGTCCCAACTCAGCTGAGGAACACGTTTTCCCGTCATGCCTTTGGGCTGAGGACTTTCTGCATCAACCCCGTTAATTGTGATCGCGTCATAATATTTCTGCCGTTCGTGACAGGAGCCATGACGTCATTAACGGTAAACAGCTGATTTTGTTCTTGTTTCTGTCTGAATCTACACGCAGCTTTGAGGCTTCTGATTGGTCCAGCGACGCAATGATGTAATCAGAGTTTGCTTGAATCAGTGCAAAAACGGAGAAATCAGCTGATCAAACCGGAAACGGAAAAAACATTGGGACCGACAGGGATCGGCTCAGCCCGGTTCGGTCCCAGCTCCAGGCTCACCTGCACCCGTGTGGAGCTCCTCCGTGTCCTGCTCCGGGATGTGGTCTGCACCGGGTCCTGGATGCTGCTGAGGATGCTGAGCTGCAGCACCGCGCCCCGCCCGGCGGGAGGGGCGGGGCTACATCGCCGTGTGCGTGTGTGCGCGCGCGTGTGTGTCACGTGATCAGTCATTCTAACAGGAAGTGGCTGTGTTTGCACTAGGCTGATGCTTCTCTGAATTATTGATCTGCAGGGATGATGTCACATAAATGTGACCCTGCAGGAAGAACACAAGGATCTGAGAAGATCACCAATCACTAATCGATCACTGCTTTTAGCAGCCAATCAGGCTGCAGTATGTGCTGCTTCATGGAGGCCGTGCTGTGGAGCACTTGCTGGGCGCCACGGGACGTCAGTCTGTTAAGCTTTGCTGTTTTTGTGACACCTGTGCACCAAAGCTTGTATCTGTTTTCATGTTTCAGACCGTCACTGTGACATCATCAGGAAGCTCAAATATTGGTCCAGACACTCCACCTGCTGCCTCTCGTAATGACGTAGACTTTGACCTATGATGAGCTCAGACACTTTCTGACTCGGATGTTTTTGTTGTGGAGCGGGTCACCTGCTCGATCTGTGAGTGTGAGGAGGAGCCGAGTCACCTGCGGCCAGATGTTGACCTCTCACAGCTGCTGATCTAATTATGAAATGAAACTGAGCTCCGGCCTGCGTCAGCCTCAGGAAACACCGCACAAAGTGAAATGTTCACGGCAGGCGTCTGTTCAAGAGCAGCTTCACCATTTTCACTGTGAAGCACCGACACACGGGGGCGTGGCCAGTTACAGGTTGATCATTAGTAAAACACAAACACAGTTTCCAGGTTTGGAGAATTTATTGACTTTACATGTCAGTAAGTTAGTGTAGAAACTAAACCATGCATATAAAACAGGAGCGGTGACAGGAAGGGAGGCGGCCAGTAAACGGCGAAGAAGGCGTGCTGCAGTAACCACTGAGGCTGCGGCTCAGATCATGGCGAAGTTTAACCACTGCAAGAAGAAGAAGACATGGTCGTCGTCAGCCTCTGCGCTCACACATTGACACATACACGTCACCGCGTCATACATCTCACCTGCTGGAAGTCGAGCTCAATGAAACCGCTGCCCTTAGTGTCGAGCTTCGTAAAGACCTCTGTGGAGGAAGACCGTGGCACGTTAAAGTTTAAAGGTCACAGCACAGAGGGAAAGTTAAAACTCAGAGAGACGCAGCGAGACGTCACGGGGCCGGCAAGCTAACCGTTAGTCACTGAGACCTGTGATAGCCTCCAACGCCCTGCAGAACTCCTCCTACCTGAGGGAGGTCACAAAGCTCCAAACATCTCACGCAGCTTAGACACGCCCTCCAATCCTTGGTCCCCCAATAAGAACTCCTTATCTCACTGACTCCCTCACTGACTAAACTCCCACA